TCAGCCTTTTGGCTTTTAAATGTCCCCAACGTAGCTGTCACTGACTGACTTTTGACTGTCCGGTTTTCGTTTTCAGCTTGGCTTTATTTCTTTTCTATATGTGTATACTTTTTTCCGTCGGATTTGGGGCACGCCCCCCTCGTGTACTTAGTAGACAGAGCAGCAAGGAGAGAGAGAGAGCAACAGGCGGAGAATCGGAGCTAGAACTGGACTTACTTTTTCAGAATCCAGAAACCACTCCTCTGCCGCCCCCGGCGTGTGTGCCATGTCATATGAAAGCCACAAGGTTGTATGCCAGTCGACAGTCGCCATGACATTTCAAATTTACGGGCTATGACAAAGTGAGTTAAATGCATTTTGAGAAGTACTCTCTCGGCCCAGGCAAACACACAACCCCTAGAAGTGAAAAGAAAATCCCAAAAAATAAGAAAAAAACAAAAAAAGGAGGGGAAACCAAGAGCAGCTGCATCTGCAGCGGCAATCTGCCCTTTTGATGTTGCCGCAGACCCAACTTTTACATATATTTAAAGATCATGTACTTACTAAAATTACAACGCATACACACCAACACCCCTAGCAGACTCACACACACACACACCAGCAAGTGTTTATGCACTTCGATGTGTGGCTCCAATAACCGACTTTCCATCCTCCGACTTTCTGCGCCTCCTGCAGCAGCCGCTCCTGGTGTTGTTGTTATTTGCAAAAGTTATTCATACGCCACGTTGACAATAGTAGAAAATGCAATTTATGTTGGAAAAACATTGCGTAAGTGCATCTGAGGCGAAATTCAAGTAGCTGCTGCTAGCACCCTCATCCAGGCAACGAAGACAACGGCAGACACAGCAGCAGGCAGGGGTGGGGTGTAAGGGGGATTTTCGGGGACTAAACCTGGCTTTCAATAAAAAAAATTAGACACACAATATTGTTCACTAAATTTGCTTATTAAAATTAGAAATCAAAAAATATTTTAAAAAATTTTAAATAAATTTTAAAAATACTTAAAAACAAACAAAGAAAATAAGCCACAGTTGACTTAAATTATATATATTTTTTAAAGCATTAAATTTTTTTTATTTATTAAACCCCCTTTTTTTAACTCCTGCCCACACCCCTGCTAGTAGACACATGCTGAGGCTCAGGCTCAGGCGGTGGCAGGCAGTCATGTAAAAGCGTTGCCATATAAAACATCTAGAAATTCCAATAAAATTTTCATGCAATTTTCCTCGCACCGCTTTCACATGCAGAGTGAGCTGTTCCACCCCCTCGTTTTCCTGGGCTTCTCCTTTTGGCCAGCTCATGGCTTATGCCGCCTCCTCAACTTTCAGCCATGGACTATGTTCGTGTGTGTGTGAGTATGTGTGTTTGTGGCAAATGCATATCTAAGACACTCAATAAGTAAAATAAACAATGCCAAGAAAGTGCCAAAATCAATTGGCTTTCTAAATGTCAGCCAATGCGGAAGTGCACTCATCTCGGAGATGGTCCTCTTCTATAGACACCAACTGGGCCAAGGCCACAAGCAAATAGAGAGCTCTTTGGTGTAAACAACAAATTAATTGTGGCTCACCTGAACTTTGGTCCCCAAATCGATGCACAAACTTTGGGTCCTTTGAAATTTCCGAATAAAGTTTATGCAGATTGATGGCAGCAACGAATAAATTTTAATTTTGGTTCGAAAACATTTTAATTTATTCCCCTATTTGTGTGATGTTATTTTTTCCCCCACGAACATGTAGTAAAATTTAACCTTTTGATGTTGCTGTTGGTATGTTTAAGATTTTGGGTATAAAGTTGATTGAAGCGGTTGGTGTATTTTTTGTATTTTTTCGGTGGGCGGCATTCATTGGTGGTCAGGCCAATTTAGCAGCGCTTAGCCACAGGACACGGGGTGAGTTGGACAAATTCCATTGGACGTGGCGAAAAATTTCATTTAAAATATATTTTGCACACATCACAAGTGCGGCCGGCTGCAAGTGTAATTTATGCGTCTTCACACACTCGCACACACGCCGAGTGAAAATGTGTAATGTTGACCCGATGCCAGGGATGTCCTGGCTGGAGCTGTTGGATGCTAGCTGCTGGATGCTGGATGTCCTGCCAGCCATGGCTCGACGCTTTTCATTTTTCTGTTTTGGGGCTAAAATACCAAATTACGACATAAATAATGCATAGATAACGAAATTTATTACATTTCATGTATCAGGCCGGCTGGCAGTCAGTCGGGGCGAAAGTCCTGCTCCTCGTTCTGGTCCTGGGAACGAGTCCTGGTCCTGGTTTGGGCTACGTCCGGCCTTTGGGTCAGCAAAAGTTTCACATCAACTGCTGGAAATGTTTGAACGGGCGACACTGTCGCCTTCTTAATTTATGGCTCGTGTTAGTTTCTCTGATTTGCCAGGCAAAAGTTTATCGAAGCATTATACTCTGCTCCTGCAGCTTGCAATTTAAAAATGTAATTGTTGCAAGGATTAATCGACAGCCACACCCTCAAACCAAACATTCATGACAATGCAAATTCATATATTCAAATTCCAATCAAATTACTCTCAAACCGTTTTTATATCCCGCTTGTTTATGCTGTGAAAATTAAGTTAGCTGAAAGTGCGCCAAACAAAAAATGCAAAACTTTTTGCGGTTTTTTGTGCTTGGCAGGCAACGTCGCCTCCGCATCCGCATCCGCGTCAGCTTCACTTGACGGCTATGCGGATGCGGATGTCTTGCTCATATCGCAGCCAGTTGCTTATAATTGCATTTGCATATTATTTCCCTTTTATTGCACATGTCGCCCGGCTTGACATGCCATCACTTTGGGGGAGAGGAGAGGACCAGCGGAAACCCTTAAACCATTTATTTTTTGCACCCTTCTCTGGCATTTTTTTTTTTGCCCAGCTTCTCCTTCAGCTTGGACTGCCATTTTTATTTCGCTGAAATGTTTATAAAATGGCGGCACGCTTCCGGCAACAGCAATAACAACAAAAAAACTGAAAGAAGGGCATCGCCAAAAGAGTTAAAAGTTAAGCGTCTCTGGTGGGAAAAAATTATACCGAAATAATTTGCATATAAATTATGATTGAAGGCGCCGGGGCCAAAGGTGTCAAGCGTGTTGACTGAAGCCCCACGGAAGCGGTCTTAACGCTTCCCCGATCCCAATAAATAGTGATAGCTACCCATTTGGATGTTGACGAGTCGCAAATCCACCAGTTTTTGAGCAAAGCAATAAATATCTCGACAGCTTCCCGGTCAGATTCCACTAACTTCTGGTCAAATTCACTCAGAAAATAATTTGGTGTAAATAAGAATACACTAATTCTTTAAAAAAAATGAAAAAAACTTGACCCCTCTAAACAATATATTTGCCTATAAAAATATTTCGGAAATACATCTAATATTTTTTAAAAATTTAATATTTTTTTTAGATTTTTAAAATATTTTTTCTTTGAATACTCATAAATCCAGAACAAGGATGTAGTTAAAACATATATAATTTTTTAAGATATTTAAGATTTTTTTTAAATATTTAGTAATGGTTTTGAAATTCCAGTGTTTATATTTCGTTGAGTCTTCGACTTGGTTAGTGACGCCGCAATATCCTGCACACTTGTAAACGGCTGAGCCTCCCATTTCATCGGCAATCCTCGTCGTCAGGTAAACAATGCTAATGCATATGCTTTGGCCTGGCACTTTTGAAGGGGTTTTCGGGTTGGATTGTTTCCTGAAGGGAACCTGCACTTCCGGCACGCATGAGTTGGCGGTCTTACGTCACAGATCGTCAGCGTCAAGGAGCCAGAGATTTCGGAGGATTGGAGCGGGTGAGTAAATGGTGCACGTGTTTTCCTTTTTCTGGGGCTCCCAAATCAAATCTGAAATGAATTTACCTTTGTTGATTTGCGACGGCTTTTGCATTTTGCCTTATTACACGCAGACATGCAGACATATAGACACAAAACGAAGCGGGACGATGGCACACTAACGTGGCTTGTTGATTTGCTGGCAAACCCCTAGCGATTGCTCGCTCGGATTTCGAAATGAGCTCAAGACAAATGTAAATATTTTTTAGTGCTCGCTGGGAAAAGGGACGAGGACGAGAAGGATGGCCCTGGGTTGGGTCTTATGATGGATGATTGTGTGCTTCCTGCAGATTTGTAGCCGCCGATAAACTCAATTTGTTTGCTCTTAAGTGCGGGAGGTCTGAAGGGGGATAAAGCCGGTGGATGGGGGCCCGTGCTCACAGGATCTCACATTACGCATACGCCGTGTTGTGACTCCCGATTTGCCATACGAGGACGCTGCTGATTGTCAAAGTTTTTAAAGCCGATACTTACGCGCTAGTGCGACACTCGACTTGTCGTGAGGAGTTTATTTTCAATTTGATGAGAACTTCGCTTTTGTCGCCCATTTGCACTTTTCATGTCTTTTCTATTGCGATTGTTTGTGCATGTGTGCGGGTTTCGCCTGAATTTCCTTTAGTTTTATTAAGACAGCTGCCTTTTTACGACCCGCCCCATAACTTATGCTCTCTGGCAGGCAATGAGCCATATACTTTTTACTTATTCCTCAATTATTGTTTATGTTTTCATAGCCTTTTCCTTTGCCGCTCCCCCGAATACGAAGTGTGCGCAGCCAAGAAAAGAGCATTTAATTGCTTTATTCGACGTGGAACCTGAACTGTGCGCACGGAAAATTATTAAATGCTATTTATCACTCAGGCGACAACGGAAATGTGTCTCTGACACTTACAAGAACGCCCAAGGAGGGCGGCGAGTGGCATGTGCAGCTGCTAAGGAAATTGGCAGCATCTGGGAAAAAATTGCACTTGAGGAAATTAAAAGTTGCATTTGAATGCCACGCACGAGCGTAAAAACTAATATCCGCCCTTCAGTTCATTGTTTTTTCTCTGGAAGAAATGATTTTTCATTCGACAAGAGGGGTCACTTAAGTAGATAGAAAAATATAAAAAATAAATTTTAAATTCATATATTTCATACATGCAGCTTATGTTTTTAAATGATTACAAGTACATTAAACGCATCATTCTTAAAGTATGCCACAACAAAGTATGATCGCAGATACTGCCAGAAGGTAGGCAAAGATACTCAGCCAGCTACGTTTACGCTATGTAAAATTCATGTAAAACATCGGGGCATCAGCGCCCTAAATTCCTAGACATATAACACAAACAGGGCGGCGATGGCCGCCAAAAAGGACAGGAACGTCGAGGCGTACAGCACGGCACAGGTTGTGTTCATCCAGGATACCAGAGGACCCACGGATAAGGAGACAATCAACTGGGCGATGAACACCATGCTGCTTATGATGGCCACATCGGTGCCCAGACCTCGAGCCTGTTTCAGCGGCACAGTCTCGCCGTTTTTAATGCAGAACTGAAATATAGACAAAATATATATACACGGTAGCTTTAAAAATAATTACTATTTTACTTACACAATTTTTGGCGTGATATCTAGCCACCAGTATAAAAGGCACTGTGAAGATAGTTCCATAAAGAATTCCTGCCGACGTGCTGAACACCAGAACTCCCCATTTAGTGGGCCACAAGCCGAGCACCAGCATTCCAATACCATAGTAGATCATACCACTAATGTAGACAGCCTTTGTGCTGAAATTGTATGAAAAAAATTTAATTTACCATTATGAGAATATAAAATTAATCATAGTATATACCATGTTATGATTTATTATCATTATTTAATGTTGATAAGTCATTGAATGCAGCTAATATGACAAAGATTTGTAATAAATTTTGATTGCATAGCCGTGCCTAGAGCATTATAAATTCAGTTAGAATTTTACAAGCAACAAAGCAGAGATTTCTAGCCCTATAAATTATTTAAGCCCATGATTACAGTTATAAGACGAGAGTCAGAGCTTTAGCATTTACGATACGATTAAAAATTAAAAGGAAAATAACAGGAAAATATTTAAACGAGTAATATATATTTTTTTAAGATTTAAAAAACTGTATTGAATGACTCGACTTTTGACAGGAAGAAATTGTTCTTTAATTAAGATTTAGTTTGCAGACTTACCCGAACCACTTCATCAGCTTGGTGACGGACAGCGAGTAGATGGAGCAGGAGAATGCGTAGATGGACATTCCCCAGCAGCCAAATCTGACTCCGGCCTCGTAGTTGAGGGCGGCCTCCGTGCCGGGAGCAGCGGTGGGATCCCCGTGGAACACCGCCTCGCCCACAAAGTCGGTGAAGTAGAGGCAGTAGGTGACGTGGCCCATCCAGCAGAAGAGATTGGTGAGGGCCAGCATGCGCATCGAGTAGGGCATGATGAAGATGCTCTTGAGATAGGCCTTTAGCGAAACGGGAGCATCGTAGTCCGCCTGGGTCTCCAAGTCCTGACTCTTGCTCTGCTTCTCCAGGGCGGGTGAATAGCCATTTTGGTAGCTGCCCTGCAAGGCCTCCTCCCTCTTGGGATCATCACTGGCCATCTGCAGCTCCAACTGTGTGGTCTCCTGGATATAATAGATTGTGTTGTTCTTCTTCTTCAGCTCCTTCTTGATGGCCTGCTCGGAAAGAGGTCGCAACAGCTCATCCTGTTCGATCAAAGTCAGCGGAATCTCCCGGAACGTCGTCACCGTGATCAGATAGCACACTGCGAATATAATGGTGACCAGGGTGAAGACAGTGGGTATATTTCCGCCCATAAAGCTGCCAATGTGCGTGGTTTCCCAATCGACTCCTCCGATGGCATATCCAATGGTTCCTCCAAATCCTGCGAACAGGGCAAACATGGTCATCGCCTTGGGCTGCTCCTCCGGCACACACATATCCAGCAAATAGGTGCGAGCGGGGGTTTGACAGGTATCCGCATCGAAATCCAGCAGAACCATGCCCAAAATCGTAAGGATCACGGCGAATTTATAGTCGGAAGCTGAGGGTCCTACTGTGGCCTCACCCGAAACCAAGGCGGCCACTGATCCTGCCGCCGAGGAGGTAAGGTTCAGGACTGGCTCTGCGTATTCATATCCTGCGTCGCCGAGAAGCTGCCCCAGATCCTTGCCATAGGGCACCAGGATAAGGCCACACATTATGCCAAAGGATAGAATCGATATAATCGGACGTCGGCGACCCCAACGAAGCTTGCAGCGATCGCTAATACTGCCCAGTAGCGGGGACACAAAGAATCCAATCAACGGCGAGAGGCCCCAGGTCATGGACATGTGCTTGTGATCCACACCGATCTGCAGGAGGATCGGGGATACGAAACTCGTCTCCGCCGCGTAGGCAAACTCAATGGCCATTGCGATGGCGGACAAGCGGAACATCTCGAACCTCGTCTTCCGTCGGAAGACATGCGAGTAGTCGCGATCCTGTTCACGGGCATGATTCTCCCGGGTCTTCAGCATGTACTTGATCATCGGGTTCTTGGCCGAGGACAGCTGATTCGCCTGCGAGGCGTCGGCAGTAACTCCAACCATTTTGATCTGGATTTACTAAAAGTGGAGTGGAGAGGAAAAATTTAGAGAAAGTAATGATAATATTATAATGTACTTTTACTTATTTTATAATAATATTTAATATTATTTAGTAAGAGATATTATGGGATAAACTTTCTATATCAGTTTAATCACGGTTTCGTGAATTTAAGAATCAATAAAAATTACGAAAGACTTTTAAAACTGTTTAGGGTACTTCAATCCGAAATTGTATATAATTCTTAATCCGAATCTCAGCTTAAGATGTTGCCGCATACCCGAAAACTTTCCACTGCTTGGGTGCAGCTTACAAAATCTATTAGGTCACATCTGGGCTTAATTTCCCCTATCGCAATCTTTAATTGCCAAACGGCGGTCGTGCTGTTTCTCATCTCACCCAAAGCCCACAGCCCAAAGCCCACAACCCAGAATTCAGAGACATTGAACCGATTAAACTAGAAACATCTGGTGCGGCACGTCGAAGCGTCGAAGAAGCGTCAAAGATCTCTGATTAATTGAGCTGCGCGGCCACGGTGCAGTGGCGAAATATAAGTATAAAAAAAGAAAACTGAATTCATTTCAATTCCAATTCAATTGCACTGAGCCCGCAATTTGTGTCACTGCCTATAGAATATGGAGTGCGAACCCTGAACGGCGTTATTTGTTTACAAATAAATTCAATCACAGCGAAAGACAAACGAGAGTGAATTGTGACTCGAAGGCTTATCGGGGTAGCGAAATTGAAATCGAAACTGATTGTATACCCCAAAATGAGTTCAAAAACCCAGTCGCAATCGGAATACTCAAATAATAGAGACTTTCTGAGAAAGATTGTAATGTGGGCTTTGTTGGGAACTAAGGTAATAAAAAAGTTTATTGGAAAAAAATATTCCACGTTTCGTAGAAGATAAAAACTAAAAAAAATACTTCTATAAAATTGAGACTTTTCTATAAAATTGCACTTAAATTTATGCTAAAAACTTACTTCGTTTCTTATTTGGCTAATATCACTATTTTCTTTATCTATTTAATCACTCGTCTTCGATTCGTATTTAGCTAATATCACACTTTGCCAATATTTAAACACTAGTCTTCGTTCGCTCAATTTCTCTTTTGCTTGAACTTGACAATCAGCCACATTTTCGAATTATTGCTAGCGAACACTTTTGCAAATTGACGGATCAGCGGTTTATATTGGGTTCAATTGTATCTTTGCGGGCGATCTGTAAACGGCTTTTCAGAGGCGGCACCAAAACTTTCCTACAACCAAAACGTCGCGTGTCCAAATCGCAACTGAGTCTGGGTCTCCGAATCTTCGAATCACCGAGTCTACAAGTTTCTCAATCTCTATCAAAAGTCTGAGCCATTGACCAAAACCTATCTGCTCCCTCACGTATGGAGCACTAACAACAAGAATAATAATAATAAAATCATAATAAAAGCTCGAATAAATTTAAAATACAAAACATCTAATTTGTACGCCGGCACTCGAGCTGTCCCATTCACATTGTCGCAAATCCGTGGTAATTGAGACAAGTTGCAGGTCATGTGGGTGTAGGCACTACTCTCTTTCTCCTGGAATCTCAAGTTAAAATCCAAATCGAAATCCCCATTTTGGCCACGGGTTAGATGACCGACGTTTTCTGCGCTTGAATATGTATATGAATATTCTTCGAAAAACAGCGGTTCGTAATTAAAGCGCCGCAGACTAGGTCAATAAATGTTTAAATAAACAAAAAGCAACAAAAAAACATATGAGCTTTGCAAATTAATTAAGTCGCCGCTGGCATTAATTGCCTGTTACGATTAGGAAGTCACTTGATAAGCATTCCGCAGTTGACAACTCTTCGCGGGTGTGAGTGAATCACTAGTCCGAAAGAGGGGTCAAGGTTATTTGGGGGATTTGAGGAAATAATTTACATGCCTATCCGCTATCCGTTAGCTAAATATTATAAGGCTAAATTCACACGTCTTCGGCTCAATAATCGGATGATTTCCATTGTTGCCGCTTTTCGCTTTTGGCTCCATGGTGATTAAAACGTTTTGTAATTAATATGATTATTAATATACGGCTGTTTAAAATGCATATTACTTTATTGTGGGGGTGTGAACCGGCTGTACTGTGGATATCCATTGCATATGTAGGTTAAAGCATATAGGCAGTTTATTTAACCGCCAATTGAGGCGTAATTGATCTTCTTATTGTGCGCAGGCATGAACCGTGTTATTAGTTTATTATGACTCCCTTAATTACGGGAGAAAATCACAAGAGATTTATTTAAATAAACTGCCTGGGAACAAAGGCGGCTCTTAAATCTTAAATCTGCTCAGCCACTAAGTGCTAGGTACAAAATCCTACTAAAATACCTTTGTAACTGAGAATTTGTAAAGGAGTTCGAGCTAAAATATAATATTTACTTGTCAGGAAAGGTATTGTATTCATTTATTTATATTTAAGCAAGTTTTGCAATGAGCGAAAATATTTATTTTTTTTTGTTATTTACTAACTTTTAAATATTTGTATTACAGTCAATAAAGCAGAACGACGAGGAACCGAAGTAAAAATATTTATGTTATTTACAACTCACATTCCAAAACTTTAAAAATAAGTATAAAAAGGCGTAACCACATTTTTCAAATAAATAAAGTGACCTTTAAAATGACTAGGAAATCTGTTATTATTTATGACTGTTCAGCCACTTTCCTTATTAAATATTTATTGTTTTACGAATATATTCTTTTATAAGTTTTCACGTTACATTAAAAATTGCCATTAATGTAATGCCAGCTTAAGAGTTTTTTTTTATTATTTAGATAGTAGATAAATAAATATCACTTTATTAATAGGTCAAACTAACCTCTATTTATAATTATCCTTGATCCGCTGACAGCCCACGCTCCCTCGCAATAGTATTATTTTCGGTAGTTTTGGTTCTATTTATTGGTGTTTTTCTAAATATGACTAATTTTGTTTATTTTTTAACGAATTTATGTTGATTGAAACTTTAACGATCACGGTTGTCACTGCTCTGCGGTTTGCTTCGGTAATTCACTCACTGTCCCGGTTTTGTTTTAGTGTCAATAACTTATACTCCGTTAAAGTTTTTCTCTTGCACAAGTTGTTGAACATAAAATATATTTCGGTTTTCTTCAATTTCAATTGTTTTTGCTGTTGTTGCTTGGAGCGGGCGTGGGCGTGGCAGTTGTGGGCGGGCGGCGGTAACGAATTCACTCTCATAACTTTACCCATGCAGTTGGTGCTGGCAAAAGGCTAACGAAATCAATTTTTGCACCCCCGTCGCAGTCCTCCGGTTTTTGTGTTTGCCGCGGAAAGTTGTTCCGCACTCTATCGCGAATCACTTGCACTCCGGCGAGTTATTAATTTTTGTAGATATTTTTTGGATATCCGGTCGATGGCCGTTGGATTTGTTATTCGCCTTTTTCTTTATTTTTTGTTAGCTTTCTTGTTAAAGTGCTGACATTGCCGCTTGTCGGACGCGGCGGCAGCTGTTTACTCCGTTGGCCTGAACGCAGCGAAGATTTTGGCAAGACATGAAAGAAGTGGTGGCCTGACAATTTCCCGAAAACTACGCAGTTTCGAATCTTGTCCCCGAATCGATACGCAGAAAATGGAAAATTTATGTTCTATTTTTTGCAGAATCTTTCAAGTGCGGTGCCTTCTTTGCCTCAGCTGCGATGACTTTGGTTTATTTTTGGACTGCCAAACGCCTTGGGACGACTGCTCGGGATGATCTTGGTCTGGTCTGGTTCGCTCTGCGACTGAGCGGTGGGCCTCTGGACGCACCAATTTATACAGCATATGTGCGGGTAGCAGTGGCAGCTCTCTCGCTCCCCAAACTACTGCTCTCTACCTCTCGCATCGCTATTTTCCCTCTCCGATCGAGACGTCTTATCGGGTCCGGTCGGGCCTTTCCTTTCTTTGTCTTAGGAGCAGTGGCAACACGGAGAAAAAAGATAATTCTTATTTTTATTTGAACTTATCAAAAGTGGCGAACATATGGTTATATATTTTCGGAGAGTTTTATTCGGCCATTGTGTCGTATCTTGTTTTTATTGTTTGGATTGAATTATATTTGGAAAAACCTTCTAATCTATATTTTAGAACAATAGATACATCATAATAACTTTTAAAATTTTGTTTTTTTTATGAAACGGATCTTAAAATATTTTTTAATATTTAATATATCATAAAAAAACGTATTGTTTTTATGTACTAACATTTTTTAAAGCTAATTTTATCGAGCTATTTTTATCTAATTATTAAGTGACTCTACATAAAGATTATTAATAAAGGGTGAAGTATATGGAATGTAGTCAGTATTAATTCTTAATTATTCTGATTAAAATATCATATAAATTAGGGTCTGCATTTCTTTCTCTGCACTCAAATCTTGCCATAAATATTGATGTTGATATTAGGTGTTTTTTCTGCCTTGCTTCAGCTCATTCGCAATGCATTTTATCTGACGACATAGCAATCGGTGTGTAATTATGTTAATTATTAATTAGCATTAGCACAGTTCCTGGTTCTTGGGCCGATCTTTCGCCAGATTAGATCTGGCCCTAGTGCAGCTGCCTTCAGATTCCATGGACCCGAGGGGGCAGAGTTGGAGGACTGGTGGCTCACCTGAATTTCAGGCCACAGGGAGCACAGTGAACACACATGAAACTAGTTTACCTGCGACGACAGGTTTAAAGCATAGGCATTCATGGATGTAGTAATATGCACAGTGATTCTCGAGTGATTTTCCGAGGGTGGAAAGAAATCCTAGATTACACTGACCGCATATGCTGGGAAATTCCACTTGATTTCGAGTGTTTGCTCTTGAGTTTGCTTATTCAGCTCTTTGCCTTATCTCATTTGGGGTGTGGACGTTCGGTTATCAAATCTCAGCAGTCTAAGGCACTCGAGACTGCGAATTAGTTGAGTGACTATAAATAATTGCCAATGAAATTTTAATAATCATTTATCGATCACATGAGTCTGGCATTGAAAATGCGTTCTACTGCAGATGGGGGTCTATAATTTTCCCCAAGGTGGGAGCATACTCTATTCAAAAGGCAGATAATTGCATGTGCAAAAGATATTATTGTTAGGACTAGGAAGCATCATTTCTATGTAGTAACACCTCCAGTATTCCAACTCAGATTTGCTAATATTTAAACTGGCATTTAGAATCTATTAACTGATAGAATGGTACAAGTTTCCGTTGACGCCGGTGTCTCTTGTTGCCAGACAATAAACATATTCCACGTCAAATTATACATTTAGATGCCTTGAAATGGCAATGTGAGCCACGAAAATAAAACAGATATTAAAGTATGGTGTGCGATATGTGTTTGTTTTTGTTTTGACTACCGTTTATGACAAACTTTCCATCTCGTTTCGGGCTCATCAAGATGCTAAAATATTCCCCAAGAATGACAGACAACTTCTGACTTGAAAAGGCGGGACTTTTTCGCTTTAAGTGCCGGCTTGTATGGTTCAGATTCGGATTCTCATATTTCGAGGGTTGTGTTTGCTTTAGTTTGCCATATGCCTGATGCTTTGTTAGCATGAACTATTAGCGGAAATCCGCGACTTTTGCCAGCGACCAGATCTCCAATTGAAGCGAGTGTGTGGCATCAAATAAGCGATTCGAATTATGTAAAAAAAAGTGGTTAGGCCTAGTCGGGCGGTGCGTTTATCAAAACCACTGAGTGGTGTCACCGCGGTTTTGGGTCATTGACTTACCTAACTCCTACTCTCATTAGGTGCACACAGAAAAATCATAGCCATAAACACACATTCTTAAGGTAAATAATATTATCTGTTGGACATAAAAAATTATTTGTTTATTCTACTTTTTTGGGAGTCTAAAATGATTTTTTATCACTTTTTGGGGTACCTTAGAAGAAATCTTCCACAAATACAAGCTATAAATAAATATGTTTTATATGTACTTACAGATTTGTTTTTATAGGTTTATAACTATTTCTAAAAATATTTTATTGATATGTTAATAAAGTTTTATGGATGATAAGCCCAAGTTGGAAGCCCATGTGATATGAGAAATATGGGGCATAATTCGTTTTATGGCCACAATATTTCGGATGAACTTACGGCTTCCATTTGCGATAGACGCTGCAGAATTGCCGTGCCAAATTAATAGCGCAAAGCCCGTCATTGTTTGCAAGGTTATCATTGCGACTGGATCTTCGATAAGACCGAGCAAAACTTCTCGTTTGTTCTCTTATCTCCATAAATCTTTTTGTTTTGCTAATATTTAGCCTAAGGAAAGTACACAGCAACGGATGCGCATAAATAATCAGCTGCAAAGCATTTGATAAGCTTTAAAAAAGACTCTGTCTGTAGGAGAGTAAATAAATTAATTGGGATTATATCAGTTTATAAAGTTTTTCAATGCTGAAAATTCCGTTAGATTTTATACTTGCACATTGCTAAATGCTATATAACTTTATTGCACTTGTAGCATTCACCTTTTAGTGGTGAATTTAATTTTTGCTGAATGCCCAAAAGAAGGCAACATAATTTGAGACTTTTCTTGAACTTAAACACAAAAAAATTTAATAAATAAATATTTATAGAAAATGTTTAATTTTTTAAAATTAATATTTTGGTACAATTTTCTTTCCGGGAATTTGAAATAATTTAATATGGACATTTTACTTCAGTTTTATTTAAAACTTCTTTAAGGTATTTTGGTACAAATCAATTATGCCCAAATTGACAGGGATTTTTATTTTTCCGGCCTTGAACTTGCTTGTAGGTAAATTTCCAATAACTAATGTTTCAATAACGATTCCCTTTAAAACAAACATTGCCAAAAATGAATTTTAATTAAGCACTCAGAGCGCACAAATCAAAGAGTCGAGACTGCCCAAATCCGCTTCGGACTTCAATCAGCTAAATTGACCGGCTGATTGAAGACCCTCCAGTAAGTCTCTCTTGAGCGGAACCCGGGTTTTGAGTGAGGAGCTCCTATAAAAGGCGGCCAGTGCTCTCCGATTTACTTCAGAAGCTTGTGTCCAAGGAAGGGCAGCAGACAGCCGAATAAAGGGGGAATAAACAAACCTAGATAAACACCAATTCAAAGGGAAATGTTGATGGAACGGTTCTCGATCGGCGGTGTTGGTTTACTGTGATTTTTGTTTCGCGCAAACAGTGAAAATTATAAAAGTTTCGAAGAACTTGATTGTTTGATTTTAAAGTGTTTGTTTTAAAATTCGTTGTAAAGGAGTAAATAACTGTGCTTTTGTGTCCATGGTGCCGATTGATAACATTCTGCAAAATCACGTTTTTCTCATCCAGGTCAAAAAATACTTAAAAGGTATTAGTATTGCGATATTTATAAATTTATTAAGAGGTTAGTGCCTTGGCCAACAATTGGCCCCTTCAATTGCCGCTGGATAAATATTAATATACGGTTTGCTGAAATCGTAATATGTGATTGCATCAGCTGGAAAACTGAGAAAGATACAGGGAAAATTCGACCACTTAAACTCTTTGTAATTGATGTATAACAGTTAAGTTACTTTATGGAGTCAATATGAGTTATGGCTTTTCCAACTAAAAATTATAAATCGAAAACATTTTTGATAATGCTTCTCTTTAAAGAAGTTCCACTGTATTCCGTTCTGCAGACGATTCGGCTCGTGCCGCAGTCCTGCAATTCAGCGTTTTAGATTTCAATAATTTGGAGCGCTGGAGGCGCCAATTTCGAAGAGCGTCTGGGAATTCGTACCCCGTCTCTAATTTTTTGCAACTCTTATCTTATTTCTAGCAACGCATTACGATGAAAGATTTGAAAGCGGAGACCCCAGCGAGCGGCAGTCTCCCAAAACTGGAGAACAGCAGGGTAAGTGCAACCAAGGCAAATCCCTCAAATTACTTGAGAACCTAGTGAATGAGGATTACACTGAAGTAAATGAATAAACATAAACAAATTTAATAAATACATTTCAGGAAACCTGATGTAATACAAAGTTTTAAATGAATTCAATTGAAATTAAAATAAATCTTAAACAATTTGTATTAAATTTAAAAATTTTTTAAAGTTTTTTTTATTGTAATTACATTTTAATCCATTAAATTTTCCCAGTGTGGCAGCAGTGGCGAGGCTCTGCTAAAGCCATCCTTGCTGCCCATGGCATTGGAATCGTCTGAGCTGGCGCAGGATCAGAAGGCCCGGGATAACTGGGGCAGTTCGCTGGAGTTCCTCATGTCCTGCATCGCCCTGAGCGTGGGATTAGGCAACGTGTGGCGGTTCCCGTTCACGGCTCTGGAGAACGGAGGCGGTGCCTTCCTGATTCCCTACCTCATCGTCCTGTTCGTGGTGGGAAAGCCGATTTACTACATGGAGATGCTGCTGGGACAGTTCTCGAGTCGTGGCATCGTGCAGGTCTTTGACTTTGCGCCCCTAATGAGAGGTGAGGTTATAAGGAATTTTAGGGAATTACTTATTATATTTTAATGATTTTATTTATTATTTTAGGTGTGGGCTACGCTCAGCTTTTGGCCCTTGGCGTCTTGGCCACTTACTATGCCTCGGTGATGGCTCTAACCCTTCGATACTTCTTCGATTCCTTCGCCTCGGAGTTGCCGTGGAGCTTCTGCCGCCCGGAGTGGGGTGATGGGTGTGTGAGTGCGGCTGGCGGTGAGAACCTTCAAGGTCATCTGGCGCAGAACTTTAGCTCCTCGACGCAGCTCTACCTGCAACGCATTGTGCTGAATGAAACGGATTCCCTGGATCAGGGAATAGGCTATCCGAGTGGCAGCTTAACCCTGATGCTGGCGATTTCCTGGCTCACCGTAACGCTGATCATCATCCGCGGTGTGAAAAGCTCGGGCAAGGCGGCTTATGTCCTGGCCCTCTTTCCCTACGTCGTGATGTTCATCCTTCTAGTGAGAGCCCTCACCTTGCCCGGTGCCTACGAGGGCGTCATGTACTTCCTGACGCCGCAGTGGGAAAAGCTCTTGGAACCGGAAGTGTGGTACAATGCGGTCACCCAGGTGTTTTTCTCCCTGGCCGTCTGCTTCGGTGTGATCATCATGTACTCCTCGTACAATCGATTCGGCCATAATGTCTACCGGGATGCCAATATAGTGACAACTCTGGACACATTCACCTCGCTGCTCTCGGGGGTGATTATCTTTGGGATCCTGGGCAATTTGGCCCACGAATCGGGCACCAAGGACATCGCCAGTGTGGTGAAGGCGGGTCCCGGTCTGGCCTTCATCTCCTATCCGGATGCCATTGCCAAGTTTAAGATGTTCCCACAGGTGTTCTCGTTGCTCTTCTTCGCCATGCTCTTCATGCTGGGCGTTGGGCAGTAATGTGGGCATGGTCAGCTGTATTATGACGGTGCTGAAGGATCAGTTTGTGAACATCAAGCTGTGGATAATCGTGGTGTGCCTTTCGTTGATTGGATTTCTGGTGGGTCTGATTTACATTACTCCCGGTGGTCAGCATATCATAACGCTGATGGACTTTCATGGCGTTACCTTCGTCTCTTTGGTGTCGGCCATCTTTGAGCTGATTGCTGTGGGCTGGATCTATGGTAAATATTTATTAAAAATCTTTAAATTTACTATATGATATTTTAAACTTTTCTTCTAGGCACCAAACGTCTCTGCCAGGATGCGGAATACATGCTGAACATTAAGACCTCAAATTACTATAGGATCTGCTGGTCCATTGTAACTCCACTGGTAATGGTGGTCATTTTGGTCTATAGTTTGCTCACCATGCGTCCACTTAGCTACAATGGTCAGGAGTTCCCCTTAGCTTATAGAGGTGGGAAATATTACAAACCTATTTAAAAAAAAAATTACCCTTTAAAGCTCTCTTCTTATAGTTTTCGGCTGGTGTGTCTCTGGTTTCATTATTGGCCAGTTGTTCTACTGGGCCTTCTATGCCAACTGCCGGCAGCCCAAAGGATCACTGAAAAACCGCATTAGCAACTCAATGAAGCCGCACTGCGATTGGGGTCCTTTGGATCCCAAAAAGCTGATCGACTACCAGACGTTCCTGCGCCACAAGGATGAGGACGATTCCAGGGAGCTGAATCGTCGCGGTGTTTGCAATACAGCTGGAGATCGAATTTTTGGCTAAGCCAGACTTTTTATTTTACATTCTTTGCTTTAATATTTATTCCTAATTGGAACTTTTGTATGCCAACTTGTTTAGTTGTACTTAATATATTTGATATACAATTTTTTTTTATTCACACACACAAAACGAATGCAAACAAAAATCAATTAACTCAAAAGTTTACTCCTAAGCAATTCGAATGGCTGCCAGTTTGAAGTTTTACTTTTCCATTTTTGCCATGTCAGTTCTTTTGTTTTTTTTCTAACATTTGGCCAGACGGCAACAAATTGCTTCGACTGGCCGAAGGTAAGACAACTTTATTTGAGAAATTTTCAATATTTAAAACTAACAATTAGCAAGGCTGCCCCATCACTCCTCTCCTTTTTCCTTTTCGCACGGACATCTCACTGCACATTTGGCAGACATTTATTTGAGTTTCAATTTGTTTTGCAAGTTTGACACACTTTGCATATAGTTTTGGCCTCATTGTTGCTGCTTTTGCCGCCATTGCTGCTGTCCATCTGGCCATCTTCATTCGCCAGTTTTGTTTGCGTCAGTTGAAAATTAATGTGTCGGTTCTCTGGACCTGCAAATGTCTAAATTAAAAGTTATTTCGGCTCTTTCTTTTCTGTTTTTGGCGGTTTGGGTTAGAGAGACATCTAAATGCATTTTAGCAAATGCACATGGAGTTGTCAAGGACAGTCGTCGTTGCGTTTGCATGACATTTGAGCTGACTTGAGGCTGACGGGCGCATTACGTATACGCCGCGTGGAATATCATGCAGAATGAATGCACAGAGACAACGGCGAGGAAATTAAAAAAGTTCCCCTCCAAATGGCTTACGCTCTGATTTCACTGCTAAAGGTGCAAGAAACAATATCAACAGGGAAAAACTTGCCAGCAACAAGCAGCTAACAAGCATTGAAGTTTAATAAAATCCTCCTTTAAGGAGCCGGAGCCTCTCTCCTCCTTTTCAGCACGGCTGCAGCTAATGAAATAACTTTGTGGCAACTTTTGCCTTGCCGGAATTTGCTTAAAGCGCAAATAAAATTGCCGAGATTGCAACTGCGCGCAATCAAAGGCGTTCGAAATATTTAAGCAGCGCCAAAGCAAACAGGGTAAATAAACTTTTGGCTTTAAGCGCGCTGCCGCCGCGCAAATCATTTACAATAAACGGAAATAATTTGCCGAAAAACGCAGTGGGTCGGTGGCGGTGCGGTGCAGTGATGCACGTAACCGAAAAAGAGGAAACAATTGAGGGCAATTTATTAAACGGGTGCGCGGCTTGCAGCGGACAGTCGGTGGAGATCCGGGGCTCGGGACTCGGGATTGGGGATTGTCGAGCATCAAAATGAGTGCGGAAAAAATCCACGCAAAAGGGAACTTAAAAACAGAGAATATAGAGCAGTTGCGGAATGCTTTAAACTTTCATTTTCAGCGACTATCAACTGTGCATATTTTAATAAAACTTATATAATAAATCAAAAAGGTAGGAACGGTTTAATATTCAGTTCAGCAAGTATTGATTACAATTTGAATTGTCGGCTTGAATTTAAAAAGGTTTTAGAGTTGTACATTTTTTTAGTCCTAAATATAAAGGTATTTGAAAATTTACGCCCAGAAGCTGTGATGAATTTGCCGTCTTTTTGTGTTTGCCGAATTCATGGGATACGAACTAAGTGCAACTATACGAACATATTTAAGTGCAAAATTTTACCGAATTCCAACAGAAGAGATTTCAGTGTTATAGCCGCATTAAATTATTGTGTCATGTTTTTCGATCAAAAATAACTATAATTCAACTGTATGACTTTTTCGGTCCCAAATGTTTTAATTTCGTACTAGCCGTTCTCGTGTTTCTGGGGCAAACATTTAAATATATTCCTTCCAAATTAAATTTATACAAAATGTTTAAAATTGTATTAGATTTAAAAACGAAGTTTAAAAAGTATGTTTAATATAGAGACAAAGTAATACAACCAAAAAAAGCGATTCTGTCCCTTAAAACGTAGTATATTTTAGGCCTTAAAGACCACAGGACTTTGTTAAAGGCTTTGTGTTTTTTCAGGTGACCAAAGGAGGTGAAAGTGCTGTTCACAGCGGGAGTGCGAAAGCTGCTCGTCATGCGTGCTGGCAGCGGGAATCGTTCTGTGACGTTTTCAGCGTTTTTGTTTTGCACTCTGCCAACTTCAGTGTTTTCAGGAGGTCCTGCTCCTGCTCCTCCACCTGCCCCTCTTCCACATCCTTTTCCATCTCCATAGTCACCGTCATCGTCAGCAGACAGCGTCTACCTGGCTACGTGAGCCGCTTGAGTGATTCACCTGCTCGCCGACATTTGCATTTTGCATGCTGGAACGACTCCTGCCGGCTTTTGATGGTGAGAAGGAGGTGCATGAGGTCCTTGCTGCCGGCTGTTAGCTGCTGGTAATGGCTGTGACAAGCATTAGGGAATTATTTTAGAGACCTCGCATGCGGCGGCCATTAAAGGAGCTGCCGCTGACGATTTGATTTGTAGGCCAAGCTCACTCTATTTTTTTGTTTCAGGAAAAGCGAGATAGAGATGCAAAGCCAGTGGCGTCCCAGAAACTATACCGAAAAGCCGAGAGCCCCTGCCAAATGGCGAATGCAAAAGGCGAAGCCAAAGCCGTCAGCTGCAAAAAGCTTGCCGCACCTTTTATTGTAATCTGCATTTAAGTGGCTTTCTTTTGTGCTCCATTGGGGAATGGGGAATTTACTATTTTTTCGTGTGGATCTCTGTTTTTTTTGCACCTTGCACCTTGCTCCTTTTTTTTGCACCTTCCAATTTGGCGCACTTTTCTTGGCGACCATTGGCAGCAATTTTTCGGCTAACTGCCGCTCGTTTGAAATGCTAATATGCAACTTTGACGCGATTGCCGAGCGCCGTTTGCCATTTGCCATTTTGCCGGCGATTGCCAGACAATTTTATTTTCGTTACGCTTATGGGCGAGAGATAAGGGCCGGATGCAATTTTCCCCACCAGGGAATCTAAAAGGATCTCTCTCGACCGCTTTTAAAGTCATCTTGGCTTTAAGAACCGTTTTGGCACCGCTTTTTCAGTGCCCGTCAAACTGAAATTTCTGAATTTCAGACTGCAAGCGAATTACTTTCGGCATCCGGCAAATTGATTGCCATCTGTGGGCCCGCTTTTTCCCTTCCCCTTTTTTTCCCCCCCATTCCGTTGCAATTTTCATACAATGCAGCCTTTGGCCTGAAAACGACTCCACCTCCTCCTTTTCTTTTCGGTTTTTTTCTGGAGCTTTTCCAGTGCATGCAAATATACGTGAACGTAAAAATTTCCATATAAACTGCAACTCGCTCCCCGGCAATTCAAGTGCAAATATGTTGGCATGCCGCACTTGAGTGTCAAGTTCCCGGCACATGAAACGCAATTGTTATGAATTGGCCGGGCTAGTCGACTCGGCCACGCCCCCCCGGTTCACCGCCCACAACAAACAGGACAGCACACTATATATATATGTGGACTCATACATAAGAAGGTGTTGGGGCGGAGGTGAGGCCACAGTATGCAAATGCAAATGGATAGATCAAACAGACGTCATCACAACTGAATGCTGATTGTTTGCCGGCATTTAAAAGCAAGTGCCGAAATTTATTTTCACTGTCCCCAGAAATAAATTGAGTGGCCAGCAATTCCGGGTGAAATACAAAGCCTTCTCGGTTGGGAGTTTATTTTAAGAATGCTGTTTACGGCACAGGAAGGTGAAAAATCAACAAAATTAGTGAGTGACACACCTTAAGGAATAGAAGAGCTTTTGGTTTGCATGGAGAGTTTTATTAAAGAAAAGTAAACAATGCAGCAGGAGGAAAAATGCAGAATAAAAATCGTTTGGCTAAGGAAAAATAGACAATTGAATCCCAGCTCATGCTATGCAATTTTTTTTTCAATTTTTCTTGCTTGAAATTATTTTTTTAAATTTAGATAGGTTAAACAAAGGCATAACAACGTTAGAATATTTTTAAGAATAAGTCCCCCTCTTATATTATCTTTAAATTTTGGTGTAATATTTTCTGTTTTGGCCTTTAGCTGTGTAAACAAGTCAAGAGAGAATCAATTGTCCGGCTGAAAATCAACAAGTGAAGCCCCTGAAAGGCTCTTCGCTTCGATAGGCTGATAACCTGTCTGAGCGGCTAACTGGCCAATTTGTTGTTCCGATTTCCCAGCTTAATGCTGACAACATATGGCCCCTATCAATCGGCTAAAGCCCAGCCGCATCAAAGAGTCTTAGGCCATTCGATCTTCTTTGGAGAGGTAGGCACTTGTTTACTCCGTTTCCACACGCTTTGTTTGCACCTCTGAGCTGTTGTGCTCTGAGTTGTGTTGTTATTGTTTGTGTCACCAGTTAGAATCCCAGTTTCAGTTCCACTCGGAGTCACAGGAGTCTCAGTCTCAAGGGGCTAAGCCCGCCGAGCTGGAGGACAACAAATGCAGCTGTCAGAAAGAAGTTTACTGGCCAAACGCACTGAAATAACAAATGTGTAAGTGGTGTGGGGTGGAAAAGCCTGGGAAAATAGTAGGGAAAAGCCTGGGAAAAGCGTTGGGACAGCTGCAACAGCTGGTTCCCGTTCGTGTTCGTGCTCGGCTGATGGTTGTGTGATCCTGGCCACAGAAACGTTGATTGGCCGGCGCCGGAAAAAGAAGTTATAACCATCAAGGCGGAAACGGATGTGGCACAGACGTTTCCGCTTTTCCTCCAGTCAACTGCACTCGCACACAAATGCACACACTCGAAATTATATTTCAGTCCGGCACATGCGAAGCAAACTCTTTTGGCCACCAACCTAACCCTTTCACCCGCTTTTCCTTTTCCTTCCTGTGGCAACACCGCACAATGCCTGTCAAATAAAATCATTTTGCATTGCACAAATAGAAAATGGGAAAGAGGAAAGAGGAAAAAAGGGAAACTCAACTGCGTTTAGCGGCAAACCACAAGCACTTCTAATCAAAATATTAAAGAATTTCTTTATGGCTGCCGTCTGCGGTTGCTGTGAGCTGGAAATATTTAAATTCTGCAACTTCTAATTGAATGAGCCGTTCTTGTTGTCTTGCCACTTTGTTGTGGCTTTCCGCCCACACACACATTGTTTATTGGAGGATTCGGGGTGAGCCATAAAAATGGCAACACGT